AAATTGCCCAATTGAAAGTTCATCTGACAAACACCATTAAGACTCTCCAAAGTAGTCTTATGACAGAGATGACCAATCTCAAAGCCGATGTCCTCATGAACCAAGCTTCCAATGAGAAACGCCTGAACGATTTCACGGAAACCTTGCGCATTTACGCGAGAGAGAACCGAGACCTTGCCAGACTCATCTACCGTTTCTTCGAAGAGATAGACGCCATCTGGAAGGTACTCGGAAAGGACAGAACATGCAACACCGTACTTCGTGAACACAGAATTGCCGAAGGTATTATCAAAGAAGAGGAAGAAGAGGAAGAAGAGGAAGAAGAGGAAGAAGAAGAAGTTCCTGAAGCCGCTACATGGGCAACCCTTGTTGCCGATGACGCTTACGAAATTTCCCAACCCTACCCATACCAAATCCGCAACAAGGAGACAGGCAAGGTTCTTACCCCAGTCCTCAACAACTTGGGACACTTGAACCTTAACCTTCGGAATCGCGGTTCAATCTCCATGGGCAAGCTTGTCGCAATTCAATGGGTTCCAAATCCAGACAAGAAGACGAGGGTCAGACACATTGACGGTGACAAGCTCAACAACCGTAAGGAGAACCTCGAGTGGTTCTAAGAGTAAAAAAATTTTATTTTAGGGGGAAACCCCAAGTAAATTTAGGTGTTTATTTGGATAAGTATGTTAAATTAAGGGTAATTTGCAAAATTAGTTCCCTACCTTTGAATTGGGCTCTTTCGTTATCCCAGTTGCGTAGGAGGTCGTCCCAGAGGAGTTGGTAGAATTGCCAATCCAAGGACGATTTGTCCTCCCAGGCATTGAGGATGTACTGCTCGTAGAGTTTCATGACCTCTGCCTTGCACCAGACACCCTCTCCCTTGGAACGTAAGGCTTCTTCGAAGTGCTCGAATGCGATTGGCTGCGTGACCATCCGAAATGACACTTTTTGTCCGTTTGGTCAATGTTCGTGTCTCGTGCCATAGTCGACGAAAATACAGACAAACAGGTTATATATGAGTTTGAGACCAAGAATGGTGTAACTCGACCTGTCCGATTCAAAGACTCCGAGGGCGACCATGAAATTAAACGGAAATTAGCTAGGAAGGAATATAAAATGGACTGGTTGCCACCACCTCCACCTCCACCACCTTTACCTGTTCCTCAAGTAAATAAGCCTTTCCCGTTCCCAAGAATTCCCACATTTTAATTCAAATTCGAATAAAAATTTTTTATTTCATGCAATGTTTTATTTCTGTGCCGTCTTCAAGTATGCCCCAGTACTTACGCTTGGAGAGGACATGAACTTCGGTGAAAATTTTGTCCAATTTAAAACAGCCCATCTTCTCACCGACCATTCCCATTTCAATGAGTTTGTTGTACCCTTCTTCGTTCGTCATGAGTGCGTCAATGTTCTCATAGTAAACCTTCACTTTGGATTTGACTTCGGAGAAGAATTTGTTGTAGTTGTCAAGGACTGCCTTTGCGAACTGAGGGTAAGACCAATGTTCGACAATAGGTTTTAATGTGGTTACTAAGCCACTTTGACCTTGAGTGAATTCGTACTTCAAAACAAAAGGAGAAAACCTTTCAACAAAGTTGTCGACCTTCTCATAATGTTTACTCTTCATCTCTTGAGGTTTTTTAATGGAATATCCCCATGTCGAATTCATAAGCAATTTGAGTGTCATTGCAAGTTTGGGGTTTGAAGCTTTCCTAATATCATACAGTTGTTGTATGACTTTTCCAACTGTATAGTTCCTTCCCGGGAACTCACCATCTTCGTTTGGAATTCCAGTCGGAATATATTGGACAAACCTCATGTATGCAGCGTTAAGGTCGACATAGTATATCTTTTCGTTTGAGTCGAACTTGTCGCAACCAATTGGTCCAGTTTGTGGAAATTCAAGTGAGTCTCTTATCTTCTGAGAAACTTCTCCTGTTATCTCATAAACATCGTCGAAGCAACCTGTTTCATATAAAACCTTCTGACCTAACTCAGATGCTCTCCAATACAATTTGACGTCAATTGGATGTCTCAATGGAAGTTTGTTTATAGCATCTTGAAGTTCTTGCAACCTCATTGGAAGTTCTTCTGGTTCAGGTTGGTATCCGAACAATCCAACTCCTTTGGAATTGTGTACTTCTTTTGTACTAGAACTTTGTCTGGAACAACTTTTGGTCTTGCTAACAGTGAAAAGTTTGTTTCGTCTTTTGGTACAAAAGTTTCTGTCAGCTTGTCATCTGGAATTGGTTCCAACAAACCTTTCTCGAAAAGAATGTTTACAGCTCTGACAATGTTGCACTTGCCTTTTCCGAACAATGGGTTTGTAAGACTTTCGTTCAACATGAAGTGGTTGTGGACAATTGCAATCTTCAACCATGGTAAATTGAACTCAACAACATAGTCGTCATGTGAAGAACCTTTAGCTGTAGGTATGTTGACTCGGATATTGACATTTGCCAACGGTGCAATTTTTGCCAATTGACCTCTGAGAATGTACCTTGTCTTCACACATGACTCAAGATACTTCATCTTCTCATCTGTAACAAGACCAGAGTTCCTGAGACATGTAAGAATACAAGGTTCATTGACAATTGTTTCAATTGAATTGTAAATTCCATACCTTGTCAAGTCAATGTCAGACTTATTTATGAACGGGAAGTATCCAGCATGTTGTCTGACTGCTTGAGGGTTAGGTTGGTACCATTCGAACTTGACACTTGCAATTCCTTCAATTGCATTCAAAATGTCTGAGTCGGAGTCAACCATTTGTTCTCTCTTTGTAGTCTTGAAAGCGTCAAGAAGTTTTGCAGCTGTTTGTTCATTGCCATTTGCATAGTAAATGTGACCATCCAAATCCGTTATGGTCAATCTGAGATTGTATCCTTTCTTATTTCCGTCTTGTATGCAGCAAGTACACCCATGAAGCCTTCTTTGTTCTTTCCTTCGTCAAAGTTTACTGTAAAGGTTCGACCAGATGTAATTTGACTTCTAACTTCACGATACTTTTCATATGCATATCTTGTTCTTTCCATGGAGCATGACCATCCTCTGCACTACCTTTTTTCCTTCTCAAAGGATGCAATTGTTCGTCATGTTTCCAGTAGAATCTGGCAAAGCCGTCGTGTCCTTCAACTTGAGGTTCACTAACATCGAAAGGCATGTCCATAAGACGTTCTTCTTCTAACCTCTCTAGTCTGTTTGGATAATTTGCACGTGCTGTTTCCAAATCCATTTCGTAGCGAAGACCAGCCAGTTTGTCATAGACTTTTATGGGTCTTCCCTTCCTATATTTAAAATTCTTCGAAACTCTCCAACCATATCTTTGCAACTCTGCTTTTATTCTAGCAGATTTTCTATCCATTCTATATGGGGGCATTTTTATAAAAATAAAAAAATGTTTTTTTCTTTACTTAAACATAACCGCCTGCTGCCATAAGTCTTTGACGCCAACCCATACCAGCTAATGAAGGTTGACTTGGTTTAGTTTGGAAACTAAACTTTGGTTTTGGTTTATCTTCAGTTTTTGGTTTCTCTTCTTTCTATCGGTTTTTTCGTCACTTTTCGGTTCCTCTGACTTTACCTCACCTGCAGGAACAGTTGTGTCGTCAACATCTTCATAAATATCATATGCCATTTGTTTTTGTTTTCCTTTCAACTTTTTGTGTTTGTTGTAAAGTTTAGAATATTTTGACTCTAAGTCAATGAGATGTTCTATAATGAACTGTTGGTCAGTGAAGTAAACTTTCCATCTGTTGTCTCGAAAGCTCCTTCAGACTTCAATATTTTATTTGTGAGAGTCTGTTTCTTTTTTGAGATACTAGCCGTTCCATTTCTATGAAAAGTGACTTTATAGTTAGGGTTTGTATTTCCAGACCTGGCACTTTCTATTATTGAATTTTTCTCTTCATCTGTAAGTTCTTTGACAGGTTTTGACAATGGTTCTGAACTTTTTGTTTGTGGTGTCAAATCTACCGTTTCAACTTCTTCGGTCATTTCATCTCAGTAAAAAATTTTAGTTTGGTTTGTTTTCAACTGGTTGTTTAGGTTTTTTAAGTCGGTCTAAAAACTTCCTGAGGTATAGGAAGAAACTTGACAAACACGTTGTGTAACTGCTGGAAGCCGACAAATCCATCTTGAACCCATTTGTCTCAATGCTGTATTGTTCATTCATCTCAATAAAAAACTACTTCACCCCGTTTGAGGCGGTTGAGGTTGGTTATTGTTTACCCACTGTTGTGCATGGTTATATCCTCTGTTAAAGAATCTTTCACCTTGGTCCATATAGTGTCCTGCTTGGTTATAGTAGTCATTTGCTTTGTTATAATTAGTTTCCTGCTTGTCTTCCTACATTGTCCATCCATCCTTGAACTTTTCCTCTTGTTTCAGGATTTGGAATAAGATTTGCTGCATCTCGTGCTACATCCCAACCTTTCTGTACAGTTTGTATAATAGGTTGTGCTTTCTCTTTAAGTATACCTAATGTACTCAAAATCTTCCTTCCAACTCCAAATACACCTCTGGCTATTGTTCCAACTGCGGGCAAAAATCTGGATGCAACTCCTGCTAATGCGCCAAATAAACCCATTTCTTATGGGGTAAAATGACGAATCCAAACAAGGACCCCTATGTTTCTAAGGCAACAAAAAAGCACTCATGATAAAAATCTTTAGTTCAACACCAAATGCTTGTTTATGGATATCTTGGAAAACATTCCGAGTATAGAGAAGATGGACCACCATACTGGCTAATATTTGTCGGTCAAAACACAAGATACTGTGAAGCCATACCATTATGGTCCAAAAATATTTTAGATGTGAAAACTGCTTTTGACAATATTCGTTGACAAATACCATCCAACAAAACTGACATCTGACTATGAAAGTTCTTTCAAATCAGATGATGTAAAAAACTATCTGCGTTCAAAAAATGTAAACCAATATTTCATTGTCGACCAAAACCATTCTGCTCTTGGTGTCATTGACGGTTGTATAAAAATGTTAAGAGACTTAAACCAACCACAAGGTGGTGAAGCAAATGAAATGTCATATGACGACAAATATAGACACTTCTCCATGGCAAAGATGAGACAAGTTTTAAATATTTACAATAGCCGTAAACAAAAAGGTTTGGGAAACCACTCCCCCGAAGAAATGAAAAACAACCCTGACTTAGAGAAAGACTATATATTTAATAATTTAGTCAAAAGAGACAAACAAGAAAGAATGCCGGGCTTCAAACTTAAGAAAGGTGACAAAGTAAAAATAGAAATACCTAAACGCGACCCATATGAAAATACTATTGACTATGACAACAATGGGAACTCGACAGGTACTCACATTCGTGTTCGTAAAAATAGAAGAAAGTATACAAGAGAATATTATGAAGTTTTAGGCAAACATGGCAAAATGTACAGACTGCAAGCAGAAGATAAAACTACTATTGTCAGACCTCGTTTCAAACTTGTCAAAGTTCAAGGTGGTATACTTTCAAAGACAGTTCCTAACAAATATAAGACAACTCCTGACGAATATGCTAAAGAAGTTGAAAATGACGACTAAGCAATTCTATACCATGCGTAAACTGTCATGTAAGGTGGCATGTATTCTTTACTTTGTCCCGTTGTTTGCGTATATCCCGAAACGCGATGTGTATGGTTTCCATCTCCCTGAGTGTCACCCCAGAAACAATTTATAGCAAACTGAACGTCGTCTTTAACATCATATCCTTTACCTTTTTTCATTGCTGACCAATCCCAAAATTTATGCTTATGCCAACCTGCTTGAGATGTACTTAAATCTATGTAGTGACTGTGTGCAGGTAAATTTTCACCTGAAATCGTTTTACTTCCACCTGTTTCCTTTGAAGAGTTTGCACAATACAAAAACCTGTCGACTATTTGTTCCCATGCACCAACACCAAACATTACTTGAGGACCTCTTGCTTCCATAGATGTATAAAGAACCTACTGGGTTCATTAAATCAAACATATGAGACATTATAGGATTGTCTCTTTTGAACTTAAAATATAGTGCAACTATTTCAGGTTTCTTCTGGTTTGTGTCAGAATATTTTTATAATATAATCTTATGTTTTCAGGGTATGTACAATCTTGACTATAATATTTATTTCTGTCATCTTCATAATAGTATACTATTCTCGTTTTTTCTATTGCATTATATCTTTTATATCTATAATATTCTAAATATAATGTTTGCTTTTTTGGGTCTACACGTGCGTCAACACCATAGTCATAATAATATGGTGCTGGAGCTGGGTCAGGCAATGTCATATCTGCCATTTCATAAACTCGGAAATATTTCTTTTGTTCGTCTCCATATAAGTTTAAGTAGCAGTTGTTGTCTAATGGAACTTTAACTTGTGTACCATCATTCTTTATATAGCCTACATACATTTCATTGTTATTTTTCGGAATGAGTTTACACCGTGTACCATTTTTTAAGGAGTGTACAAACTCCCATCTAAAATATTTGTTTTCTTCATAGATAGAAAAGTCACCAACAATAGTTTCAATATTTTTCGTTGTTCCTATCAAACTTTGGTATATTTCGTTAACATATTCCTAATCTGCCTTCTTTTCAAGGCTAACGTTTAAGTCTGTTATTTCAGAAGATGTATGTGTATGTCCAACGGCACTTTTACTGTTTAAGGTTTCTTGTAAGTCTGTTATTTCAGATATAGAATGTGTATGAGTCTTTTTAGAATATTCGTTTTCAGCTCTTGTCACTTCACTTGACATTTTATTGTCAACATATGTTTTGTCTGCTAGTTCAGGATGAGTATGTTCTTTTGTTGCATAAGCATTGTTAGCTCTTTCTTCTTCTTTTGCTATTGCATCGTCTACATATTCTTTGTCAGCTTTGTTGTCAACATCTGCTTTCAAAAGAAGTTCATTTATAGGTTTCTCGTTTAAAGTTCCTTTTGTTGGATTTATACAGACAGTATGGTTCTTATTGTCTTGAAACAGAAACTCATCTGTCATTGGGTTTAATGTCAGTTTTAAGTTTCCTTCTTTCAATGACTCAGATATCTTAGAATAGTTTGAAAAGTTTGTTGTGTTCTTATTTAGAGCTTGCACAATGAGTTGTCGGTTGTGTTGTATTTCTCTCATAGACGCTGTTTCATTTGACATTTTTATTCTAGATAAAATATGCTTCCAATAGAAAAAGAAAATTCAAGAGTTGCTACAACTAAACCATTAGATGAACTTTTTACTAATGTCGGTCAAAAGTTTGAGACAGAGACCGTAAAGCATGAAGGCTATCGTTTTGACTACCCATTAAGATGGCTAAGAGACCCATCTGTCACAAAAGCTATTGGCTTTCGTAGAATGAAGTTTGTGTCTGTAGAAGATAAAAGTTTTCCATTTATTGTAAGGTTTCATATAGATTATATATCTGAAGGGAAACGAAAAATGTGGGAAGAAATTGAGCTAATACAAGTTGACCTTTCATCTTCTCTACAGACTGCGTTAAAAAATATAGAAGATAAAATAAATTCATGTTATGCAAAATATGCTGATGAATATGCAAATACCGAGAGCACACTTTATGTGAGAATTGTATATGACAAACAAAATTCACAAGTGTCATTTCAAATCTACGAAAACAATCCAAATAAAGACGAACAAATATATACAGAATTCACTGCAATGTCATGGTATTATTTGCAAAGAATGTTAAATCAGAAAGTCGAACTTCCTTTAGCAAATATTTACAGTCGATATGCAAGAGATGAACCATATTTATTTAAAGATGTTTTCGACCCAGCTGCTATTATTGTTCATGCTTCATTTTCTGGCGCCCAAAACTCTTTCTTATGCTTGGCAAATGACTTTTACGAAAAACCTACAAAGTTATACGAACCACCAAGTGGAAGTATTTCAGACTTTCAAGTATGGTTTACTACAGATGGAAGAAAAAGAATAATTCCATTATACCATGCGTTTTACTTAGAACTTAGTTTCATATACAACTACTATCGAACGGTAAAAATATAATTTTTTAATACGGTTGAGGTGTTGGATTTGGTTGCCAACTAGACTGTGGTGCAGGTTCAGGCTGTTGTATAACAGGAGCTTGTTCTTCTGGTTCAGGGTCTTTAGGTATAAACCAACAAACTGACCTACCCTTTTACCAATATTTTTGACACCGTTCCAAATTCCTCTTCCTACGGTTTTTATTCCATTCCATATACCTCTTCCAACATTTCGAAAGAAGTTTCCTATCTTACTGAAGAAACCCATTTACTATATGTAAAAATCTAATGTCCGCCTAGTCTCTTACGTTTCCTGTTGAGTTCCATAGCATTCTTTAACTGGAGCTCATACATTCTGTTTCTCCTCTGGTAGAAAACATATTCTGGGTCAACTCCTGTGTTCGCGTCATCTGCATAAAGTTGTTTATATCCCACTTCAGGGTTTGTATAAAACTCTTTCCATCTCATATTTGCATACCATGGTGGCAAACCTAACGCAGCGTCATTTGACATGGCAGTTTGCATTTGTACATCTGTTGGCACTTGACCATAGTTTGCCATTGCAGTTTGTATTCTAACTTCATTTGGAATATTCTCTGGGTTTGGTTGTCCAGGTTGCTGTGCATTCGCTAAGTTCTGTGCGTCCATTTAATATTAGATAAAAATATCTCTTACGAGTACATATACTGAACATTTGCAGGCATTGGTTCATCTTCATATTCTCTGTACTTTTCTGCCACGTCAAAGAAATAAATGACACAATGGAAAAAACCTAAAACAAGTAGTCCTATTTCAAACCACATTTACTTACTAATAAAATTTCTTTATTGTGACACTTTCTCCAGTTTATAGGACCTCTCTCATATTCTATCTTGTCATATATAAACTCATAGTCATGTATGTCCTCTAACCATCTCATAACGGTTTCCAAACCACTTTTATCGGATGTAAAGTAAAAGCAGGATGGTTATGTAAAACGTCTAAAGTTTCTAAAGAGTCTCTCAAAGTCCAGTCTACTTGGTATTGAAAATCCCATGTGTTATAGAACGGCGGGTCCACTATAAAGAAAACATTTTCCTTGTCTTTATATTTTTCATACAAATCTGTCCAATGACATCTCACAAACTCTATACCCTCAATATATTTTTCTATGTCCTCTTTGAAAACATTTGTATAGTTAAGATATAAAACTTTTGACATAAGTGTTTCAATGTCATGAACTCTTATAGAACCACTATATAATAGTCTAGCAGATATACTATCCCAGTCTATATATTCTGCTTTTTTCAAAACCTCTCTCACAATATTTTTGTTATCTAATGGTATACGTTCCATCTTACCTATCTGAATCTTTTCTTTTAACTCTTTCAATATATTGTTTGTGTCTGGAATATGTTTGAGACGGTCCATATAGTTGTCGAAGTCATTGCATATAATCTTTGAGTCTGGGAATATTATATGGCACAAATGGGATATATAGAAACTTCCACCGAACAAATCTACAAATGTTAGACCATTCGGTAGTTTCTTAAGTTCTCTCAATATAATATCTTTACATCTACTCTTATTTCCAAAGAACGGTAACGGTGGTTTTGTAAAATTCATTTATATATAATAATAAAAATGTTTTTCCCTGAAAAGTGACAGAAAAGTGACAAAACATGAAAACATATATAATTTGTGAAAAGCGACACATTATATAATGTTTTCGACCCAGAAGAAGGCTTCTTCCCAGAAGCAATGGAGGAAGAAGAAGAGTCCTCCGAATAAAAACTTCATTTATACTAAACATCAACATCAGGGCTAGAAGGCACGAAGTGCCTGGAAGCCCCACTACCTTTTTTTTTTTTTTTTTTTTTTAAATATTTCTTTTTCCAATTTATTTTCTGATCAACCCTCTTTGTATCCTTCAAAATAAATTTGTCACTTTTCAATTTTTTAAAAATGAATTTTTTAAACTTAACAGCTCTATTCACGCGTGCTGCTGAAAAAGATCTTAGAAAAATCATTCAAGGAAACTGGACAGTTTCTATTGTCGATTTAAATTCAGCAGGAGTTCAAAAAAATGATGATATTGAATTTAATATCACAATAAATAACGAAACTGATAGTGTTTTATCCTCTAACTTTGTAGCTGAAGACATCAATTATGAATGCAAGTTTAATTTCAATTCGAATACAAGTTTTGATTTTGAATTAACAAATAGCGATGGTTTCAGATTCGATCAAAGTTTTGATATTGTAACCCATCAAGAAAATGCAAGAACTGCTACAGGTTTTATTCCAGAACTTCAATCTACATTCTCATTGAATATTTTAGGAGATACTGCAGCAGAATTTTCATTATATAATACAAATACTATGCAAGTTAGGATCATCCGCTTAGTTAAAACTATCCCACGAAAGAGAAATCTCTTATGGCTTGCTCCTTCTGCCATTGGTCTAGTCTTTTTGGTTATCAAGTTCATATATGATAAGAACCGCCAACAAAAGAAATAACTTACACAATATTTATACTCTATCAAATATTTTTTCATATTAGTAATAAATAAACTTTATAGATTATATCATTATTAGTATTTTTGCTTAAGCTTATATAGGCTAGATTGTCATCTCTCTAAGCTTTATTCTTGTTGAAATTGGAATTGCTGTTTTGCACAAAGTTGTGCATAACCTCGAAATTTTTCAATAAATAGATTCAAATTTAATATTCTTCAGTTGATAACCCCAAAATTTTAATGTTTGTTCAATTCTGTGTCAAAAATTTTCGATGCTGAGTCCTTCGGCCAATTACATTAAAAAAGCTTTTGCAGCGGCCGTTCAGCATACATGCAGCTCTGCATGCTGGAATTGTAATCATCGTCTAAATACTGCAAGAAATAGCCTTTTCTGTGAATCATGTCATAAGATCCAAGCACCAACCTGCGAAAATTTCTTTCAATTGTTCAACCAACCAAAGCAATATCAATTTGACCTCAAAAAGCTTGATAAAACATACTTATCTCTTCAGAGAAAAGTACATCCTGATAGATTTTACTCCAAATCAGAGAAAGAGAAAGAATTGAGTATTAAGGCTTCAGGTTGCATCAATGAAGGATATCATACATTACGAAACCCTGTTTCAAGAGGCGAATATTTACTTCATTTATTTAATGAGAAGGTTCTTTCTGATGTTCCACAAGATTTTCTCATGGAAGTTCTCGAATTCCATGAAGAAATGGACTCGGCAACTGAAGCTGAAGAGTTAATCAAATTACTTCAAAAAGTCCAGAAAATGATGAAAGATTTGACATCTCAGCTTGCAACAGACTTAGAGATCAAAGATGGAAAGCTTTTAAATGCTGCAGAAGCTGCAAAAACGCTTTCTAAACTTAAATATTTATCCAGAATCCGCGATACGCTCAAACAAAAAATCCCTGTTCAAAAATTATAAATATTAGAGTATATAATAGCTTTATATGGAAAAATTGTCTTTAATATTTTTATCAATTCTATATTGTTAATAAGTGATGTTCAAGTAACTCTATTAAGCCATCTCTTAAGCCAAAATATAGATTTCACGTATCCATATTTGAATATCAATGATTCCAATCGATCTTTTGAAATAATTTTAACATTTTGAATAAGATGTTAGTTTGGATATGATAATTTAGTTGTGTACTTCAATGGTAATCTATCTTTTATCCAAATTTCATTCATACACCTTTTTCTCATGCAAGGTATTGATAGAAAGGAAAATTGATAAGTTTACAAAAGATAGGAAATTTAAATAAATGGCGCGAAGTTTGATTACTGGATGCTTGAGGGCAGTTGACGAAGGCGCAACTGTTTCAGGATATGAAGTTGCAATGAGCCAAATCCTTGATGATTGCTTTGCTGATGAATTATTTTATCATTTGCCATTAACAATCATCGGCGAAGTAATTGAAGCAGCAGAAGACCCTATACCAGTTGAAAAAGCTACGAAACTACTAGATGAAGTGTATAAAGTGCAAGGGCCAGATTCGGTTTTATTATTACAGTATATTCAAGCAGGTGCGATAAATTATGAAGAAGCATTAATGATATTATCTCCGTTCAGGACTTTTAACTGTATTGCTCCTCTTTTCGAAGAAGTCGACCCGAATCAACTTCAAGGTTTTATTTTAAACAAGGAAAGGCAGATAGAATACTTAAACGAGCAAATACGAGCCCTCAAAGAAGAAAACCAAAGAATGAAAGAAGATTTTTATTGTCTCACAAAAGGAACTCTCGCTCAAGAAAAATCACGTGCCCTTAAAAAGGCAGAACTACGTATTTCCCAACTACGTGATTTATTCAAACTTGCTCAAAAAGGACAAAGCGGAAAATTATTAAGCGATATGAACGTTATCGATGCTGTTAAAAGCGGAAATCTTGAAGCAGTTAGAATCTTATGCGGTAATGACCCATCAAACCTCGAAGTTAGCGACGCAGAATACGAATCTACTCCATTACATTGGGCTGCAGGCTGGGGCATGTACGATATCGTTAAACTTCTACTTGATTTCGGTGCTGATATTAATGCCCGTAACAAAGTTGGCCATACTCCTTTACTTTGCGCTGTATTTGATAATCAACTCGAATGCGCTCGACTTTTGATCGACCGTGGCGCAGATGTAAATGATTGCGACAACGAGGGCTTTGCGGCTATCCACATTGCAGCTGGAAACGGACACATGGATGTACTGAAATTCCTTGTAACTAAAGGCGCTGACCTCGGTGCACTTACAATTGATGGAGGAACAGCATTGTGGGTCGCTGCTGGTGCTGGTGACTACGAAATTTTCGAATTTTTGTTATCAGGATGCAGAATTCCACTGAAAAAAGCCGCAAATAGGAATAATACGATCTTCCATCAAGCAGCTTTTGGTGGAAACCTACAAATTATCAAACTCTGCTTCAAAGCCGGACTTGATATCAATGCAAAGAACGATGACGGTGAAACACCTTTGGCTCTGGCTAAAAATAAAATGGTCGCAGAGTACCTTTCTCAAAAAGGAGCTGTATTGTAAAATTTAATTGTTTTTGTTGTATGGGATAATATATCCTATAAAAAAATCAAAGAAAATGATGATATGAATAAAGTTTGTGGTGTAATGAATATATTTCTTTAATATTTCCCTTTAAAAAATTAAAAATTTTATAATAGAATTTTTTTTAGTATTTTAATAAGTACAGTAATGTCAAAAAAGTATTAGAATGTAAGACAATTCAAATACTTCACTGTAAAATTAACGACAAACAAATTTATTCCTCGGATAATGTTTTCATTATGAAGTTTTTGGCAACAGCAATTTTGTGTTTGAGTAAGCCAAGTGTAGATGGATTTGGATCGGATTGTTCTATACCAAAAATGTATTCATTGCAATTCATAACGATACAAAGAGCTGATTCCCATTCAAACATGATTCTTTCCCAGTTTGGATCTGGGAATGTTTGCCATACTGTTGAAATAGCCTCGACAACCATTCTTGAATTTGTAAATTCGTTTGAACAAATTAAGCCACCTGCTGGTGTTGCAAGAAATGCAAATGTGAGTGCATTTTCTTCAGCAAATTCGGATAAAAATTTATTAAATTCCTCAATATTCAAGAGTTTTGGCATTTTACATGTCACCTTTTATCATTTGGTGAATTCAACAATTTATTCAAAATAGAGATGCACTTAAACAGGCACAGATAGATTCTAACTAAAGTGAGCTTAAAATTCAATTTAAATTTAATTCGAAGCCTAAATTTCAAAATTTAGCTAAAATTACATAACGTATGCTAATAGCTTGTGTATTTGGTTATGATTCACATTAGATTCTATCTGTATTGAGTTTGATAATTCAATTCAAATCAGTTATGTGATTTCGGGTAATCATATTCTTGATCCATGATCTATAATGATATTATATGATTGTGTAGAATATAATAGTGCAATAAATTTAAAAAAGTGATAAAAAATTTATTGAAAATTTCTTGTTAATGCTGCTTTCTTTAAACTTAATCAATTTTCGAAGTAGGTTCAAGAGATTTGAATATAATCATACGACTTTAAATGATACGCAGAATAATTACGAAAAAAATCTTTCATCATTCGAAAAAAATCGGCCTGAAAGCTTATTATCACGAGATCCTCTAAAAATTAACGATAATGAATACTTTGTTATTAATAATCGCGAAATTAATGAAACATTTATGATATTTGATCAAAGAAAAGTTGAAATATTAGTTTCAAGCTTTCACAACTGTACAAATTTATATGCTAGTGGTGGTGCTATCATATTAAAGAAGAAAACACAAGAATTTATTCTAAAATCAAGTTACTTCATTTATTGTTCATCGTTAAATGGATGTGGAGGTGCAATAATCATCTCTTCTATTCATAGTACTTCGATTTCTGAAACTCTTTTTAAGTTTTGTTTTACTCCATTTTCTGGCCAAGCAATATTTTTAGATTATAGCTCCGACGAGGGTTTATGCAATATAAATCAATCAATATTTACCGGATCCTACCATAATAATTGCCTAAGTATGGATGAAATCCATTTAAACACCGATGAATCCAAAATATACAATGTAAATATATCTAGAAACACTATTTATGGGAAAGGATCAATAATTTTCTGTAAATCTCATCATAGCAATATTAAATTTTCAAGTTTTGAAAATAATTTTGGATCTCTTGGAGGAAATTTACAAGTATTGTACGGATTGTTCAATTTACACCATTTAAACTTTATAATGAACTCATTTGACAATAATTCTCTTCTTTCTTTCTCAAATAGCAGAATTACTTTCAAATCATGTGTATTCTTTCAAAATCTGACGGATAATTTCATAGAAAAGATAAGTTCAACAATAACCTTTGAAAACGGTGTTTTTGTCAGTAATTTTTCCCAGAAAGATGATATTTTAATAAAAGATTGCAGAATTAATGATTATGAAGCCGCCACATTATCGCTTGCATTATACTCACCAATAAAATATCAAGATATTGATTATTATGAAAATGCGACAATATCAAACAATCTTTGTCATGCTGACTTCAATACTAAGGCAGAACAAGTATCAGATGATGTTAAATATACCAAAATGATGTCAATTATTCTTTCTATTTTGCTTCCAATTATTTTTGTTTATCTTTACCTTTGGATCAATCATCTTCTTCAAATTCAGCTTACAACGTATTCACTTATAGCTTAGGAAGTAATAAACAATTGAATTTTGATTTTTTTATGTTAATATTTTTCTTCATATTTTTTAACCGAAAATCATTCTTAATGTAATAAAATATGTTCTTTGTTAGTTGAATGTATATATGACATTCAACAAATTATTAATAATTTATCCATTTGTCCAAAATAATTTTATAATTGATACATTAACCACAAAAATGTTGTTCACATCGACCAGCATCCAATTGGTAAATGATTTGGTAGATCGAAATTTTGATTTCATGATGTGAGAAATTTTTTATGAAAAAATCTATTGGAAAATAACAAACGTCGACGAAATTTTGCTCCTGTTTCTAATGTGATAATTATAAAGACTTTATTTCGTTTGAAATGTCAAATTTCATGTCTGGCAGATAGATTTTTCAACATTGTTTAAATTTGAATTGCAAATATATTAAGGAATATATTTTTATTATGATGTAAAAAGTCGTAAATTCAAAAAAATTGTGATAATTGTGTACTTTCGGAATGGTTCATAAATTTGACAGCAGATTGTATGCTAGCTGATATAACTTAGAAAATAGAGAATCATGAAATATAAAATGGCTGATAAAGTGGTCATGTCATAACCGGCATTATTCTTTGAATTATTTACTCACAGCATCTTGGTAAATAAATAAGATGATAGTATTATGTTACAATATCTAGTGGAAATTTTAAAATTATATTTTATTTTGATAATTCATTTTTGATGTTGCATTTCCTTTTTGTAGACTCATTTTCACAGAAATCAGGAAAGAGAGTAAGAAATGATAATTCTCTCGATTACGAAAGTGTGTTTGATGACTGCAGTTCATCCAAGAATAACCTCTATGCTTTCACAAATATGATAGTGAAACAAAAAGTTGTCACTCTAATGCCAGGATGGAAGTTCTGTGCCTATGGAAGTGTTATGGTAGCTGCCGATAAAGATTTCACTGCAACCACAAAATATCCATCCATGGATCAAGATGGAACATGGAATTTCAACAATGAAAGCACAATAACAACAAGGCCATTACTTATTCTTCCAAAGGTACCAGCTCAGTATGAACATCCTACGGAATTCAATAGTTTTCCAATCACACTTTTCCAATGTGTTTCAGAAAGTGATTTTTGCCGGGTCCAAGTAGCTTACATTGCCCCATCTTACGTTTCCTCTAGAGAAATGGATGGCATAACAATTTCTGATCTTCATCGTGTCAGAATTTCTACAAAATTAGATAATGAGAAAAAGTTACACTCTAAAATGGTAATGGATGTACCGGGTTTCTTCCATGATTCACTTCATGTATTTGGCGAATTTAATCACACTTATCACTATAAGAAGAGCAGTGAAAATGTTAATTTAGTTACTGTTCCTGATGGCGAAATTGAAGGCACAGAAGGTAACTTAAGTATTTCATATTCAATGTTTGCTCTTGTAACTTCAAGTGATCCAATGACTCCTCAATCTGTTACAATTGCTTATAACACACCAGAACAAACAACTGCTACTACAAACTTCTTCCCAGAACTCGACATCACAATTTCATCAGTTGGCGGAATCTTCACAAAGGATAACGCTGATACACCTTTCCCAATTAACCCTGACGAAGGAGATCCAACACCAGAACCAGAACCAACAACATCTTCATCATCTGTAGCACCAGAGCCAGAACCAACTCCATCATCTAGTTCTCAAACACCAGAACCAGAACCATCTAGTTCAGTTATTTCAACAACAGTTGCTCCTGAACCAACACCATCATCTAGTTCACAAACACCAGAACCAGAACCAACACCATCATCTAGTTCTCAAACACCAGTACCAGAGCCAACACCATCATCTAGTTCTCAATCAACAACACCAGAACCAGAGCCAACACCATCATCTAGTTCTCAAACACCAGTTCCAGAGCCAACACCATCATCAAGCTCACAATCAACAACACCAGAACCAGGACCAGAGCCATCATCTAGTTCACAAACAACCCCTGCTCCTCCACCTCCAAAGCCTACAGAAAAACCAACACCAGAGCCAGAGCCAGAAAAACCAACACCAACTAAACAGCAAAAAGATGAACCAAAACCGGATGACCAGAAAACAGGATTGACTAAAAAGCAGAAAATGATGATCGGAGGAATTGCCGCCGCTGTAGTCGTTATTATTATTGTCGCCGTTATCATTGTTATTGTAAGAAGAAATAAGAAGGCTGAAGAAAGCAACATACTTACTGATGGATTGGTTGATGGAATTTAAATAAGATAATAATAAAAAATTTATTCAATTATAATCAAATATTTGTTTATTCTCATGAAATAATAATCAGATGTTCTCTTTATTCATATAATCTGATAATATATCTTTTAGCTATGATATAATTTTTTGAAATTTTGGTCGAATTAGATTTGGAAGTTTTTTTTCACTGAAATATTCAATGATTAATATAATAGTGTATAAGACTATGTGCGATAAGCTATAAATCACTCTTTAACCATATTTTATTAAAAAATCTAGGGTGTTTTCAAGTATCATATCTCCCTATATATTTTATTAAGCAAGCCATCATTGGGGCAATACAACAGAACATAACGATCCATACTTTATAATAGGATGTTAACTCGATTTATCTCTCTTTGGATTGATTATATTTTACAATTTCAGTAAATGTCGTTAAAAACTATTCACAGTAATAGGATATCTTCTAAAATTATTAAAACCATGAATTACGTTTACAAAAGTATACATTAAAAAATCAAAAATTGATTAGATAGCATCCAGCCAAAATTTTTGTTAGATAATCAGATATATAAATTGAATTCAAATGGTAAATGCACAGTTGAAATGTACAGTAAATTGGTCAATATAATTTTTGTGTAGAGATTTAATTGCGATATTAAAATGCTTTCATTCAGTATTGCAGATGTGATTTGACTTTACTTACCAAATAATATTTGTTTGCCAAACAAAAACTTGATTTTAATGAGGTTCTTTCCATATTAATATTTGAAATCTTATTATATTATTATTGTTTGATATGGTAATCGATGGCCATTGCGAAACATTTACGAATACACTTAGATACATTTTATTTACTTGTTGTTGTTGAAATTTGTATAAATATCCTTTTTATCATTATGGCTGAGATTTTATTAGCTTCAAGTTGAAGAATGAAAAAAATAATATCAGAATCAAAAAATAAAGTGTTTTCCCACTTCAAAAGGATTGAACTTTAAAGTTTGGATAACAATAATAAAGCAAGTGCGCGATAAAGTAAGCTTCAACTTTATTCCAATATTGTAAATTGAATCAAATGCTCTCAGTTGTGAATGGTTTTATGATTAAAATTATGAGAAATGATATTGTATAAATTTGGAATTTCTCTACATTTGGGAAAAAGCACGGCGAACCGTTTTATATTAAAATTCAGATAAACTCCAAAACGCAATTCAATTATTAGGCAAAAACCGGCAGAACCAGTCAAATTTTCCGAGTATCAGTTTATAATATATGCAATGTGATTTGATTAACTAAATAAAAAACATAAAATTTTTAAATTCAAGTAGAATAAATAAGAATTTGTGATTAAATAAATGTATTGCTGCTAAAATTTCAATTCCATTTTGAACTTACTGTACATTCAAAAAAAATTACTGTTTACAATACATCCGATAAAAATTGATAAATAAATATGTATGAAAACTAATTTCGTATTCAAGGCTAAGCTAAATGAGAGTGCAATTGAGAACTATTCTTATTTCCAAAAGTATTGAAACTCAAACTCTGAAATATTTACATGTAATAATATGACGATAGTAGCAAGTAGTATTTGTGGATTTTAGAATTTTCGGACCCTTTTAACAGTTTGGAAAATAAAACCAATTTGTCAAAACCGAAATTTATTCGTACTGTTTCCAAAACGAAATGTGCATATTGCCTATTTAAAAATATTAAAAAGTGAATTTATAAAATTGAACTGTTGGTTAGATAATTGAATAGATAAAATTTGTGTTCATTTTTTATATGATTCACTTCCTTTTAGTGAACTGTCTTTCCAAAAAATTGGTAACGAAGGTGATCAAAGAAATACCAAGCGAATATGAAACTGCGTTTAGTGAGTGCAGCTCTTCTCAGAATAATCTTTACGATTATTCTACTGCAAAAGTCGATCCAGAAGTTATTACGATTACTTCAGGATCTAAGTTTTGTGTTTATGGAAACATTATGACCGCATCTGATAAGAATTTCATTGCTACTACTAAATATCCATACCAGGACACAGATAATACTTGGAAATTTAATGATGAGCAGCAAACCACAACAAATCCCTTATTTATCCTAACAAAGTACCCAGCTAAGTTAGCAGAGCCATACAATTTTAATCATCATCCGATAACAATGTTCCAGTGCGCTGATAATTCGCAAGAATGCAAGATTCAAGTTGCTTACATCCAGCCATCATATTATGTCTTGCAAGAAACCGAATATATGAAATTGAATACGGGAGTCCGTGTAAGAGTCACTACTAAGTCATCTGGAGAGAAGACTCTTTATACAGGAATGGTTGCATCGCCTTCGATCATTGGATATATTGATGTTGTCCAAGTATTTGGCCCTCAAAAACATAATTTCCATTATAAGAAGCAAAATGATAATGCAGAACTCACAGTTGCACCATTTGGCAATACAGATCCACTTGAGGGTGACTTAGATCCATCTAATAACCTTCTTGTGTCAATTTCTAAAAAAGATGCTCTCAGTCCTGCTCAAGCAACAATTACATATAAATTAGCAGAAGATCCAGCTAATGATGACTTCTTCTTCCCAGAAATTGATGTCACTGTCTCAACGCAAGGTGGAGTTTTCACAAAAGATAACGCTGACACTGCTTTCCCATACAATTTTGATCCATCAACTCCAACACCAGTTCCAGAACCAACAGAAGAACCAACACCAGTTCCTGAACCAAAAGAACAGCCATCAGAAGCACCAACAGAACAACCATCAGAAGCACCAACACCAGTTCCAGAGCCAACAGAACAACCATCAGAAGCACCAACACCAGTTCCAGAGCCAACAGATAAGCCAACACCAGAGCCAACAGAAAAACCAGTTCCAGACCCAACTAATGCACCTGTCCCAGAACCAACAAAGGAACCAGTTCCTGATCCAGATGCACAAAAGAAAGGATTAACTAAGAAGCAGAAAGCTGTCATTGGAGGAATTGTTGGTTTAGCTGTAGTTGCAATCATTATAATTGTCGTTGTTATCTTTATCGTGAAGAAGAAGAGAGCAGAATCAACTGCAATTCTTACAGATAAATTAATTGAGGTCGTTTAAATAAAGCTATTAATAATCCTTACATATTATTATTATATTTGAGATTTTTGTATATAATTTATCTTTAATTAAGGGTGAGAAACTTGTATTCCCCAACATATTTTAAAAAATTCTAAATAATTGAAGTACAAACAAACATATTTTAGTATAAAAGTTAACAAGCATTGGCGATTTTTTGTGTATTCTCAAATACACGAAGATATCTGTAATTACATCGAGACCCATCAGAAGAATTATAGAAATTTGCTGATAAATTTATTGCTTCTAGCATCAATGATGGGTTAATATACTCTGGACTCTCTAGATAGTACTCTACAAACGAGATATTTGTTTTCTTTACATAATCTATATAAAGTTCATATGGAGGATACACTCCTGGCATAATAAGGAGAATAAAAAGTCCATTCGTCATTGCAGGAAACAGATATGAATTGTTATGATGAAATGAAACGTAAATTTCAGCATTTGCTAGCTCTTTATAGCAAGACGATGTTGTATCATTGATTAGTTTAACAGATATATTAGGTTTAGAAAATTCAAGGATGGTCTTCGCCATATTAAACAAATTTTCATTCAAAGATTCTGAAATTAATATTGATTTTGGTGTTTGTAGAGAATAATGTTGGAATGACAATGATAAATTGGCAAAAATATCTGTTGTATCAAAGAAAATAACGTCATTAAAACATAAATAATTATTTTTGGATTTATATTCGATATTTAGCTCTGATTCTAGTCCTACATTGTTTGGAAATGCATCAGAAACTACAATTGTCCTTCTATCTGTAAGATTGTAGAAAATATTTCCGGAAATTGCAGGAGCAAGTGCGTGTTGAAGTGTATTGTATGAATTATTGTCTCGCATATGAATCGAATATAACACTGACTTTTCTTTGATCAGTGTTGCGTTATTTTGAGAAAAATTTTCAAAATTTTCATTTAAATTTGTAAAATAGAATGAAGTTAAGTCGAATTTTAGTATAGGTGTTGGGAATGAAATTGAATGTTTAGATAGCAAAACGATATCATCTCTATAATTGCAGACTTTATGAAAATTGCAAAATAATTTGTTATTTTTTGTTTTTATGCATGATCCCGTTGATCCATTTTGCTCAATATTTAGCTTCGTAATGTTAATATTCTTTGTTTCCGCTATTTGAGTATATAAAAATAGTGTTTCTATTGTAAATTCTCCAGTATATTGATAATAATAGCGACCATACAAATGGTTTGTGTCATTTCTATCTAATTCGCAATCAAGAAATTTAACATCATAGATAATATCTCGAGATGAAAAATTAAAACGAAGATTTTTAAGCAGATTTCTTCTAGTTACTTCGAAAACTACATTGTAATCTAGTTTGAAAACTAATTCTGTTTCATGGAACTCTAAATTAAAGCTTTTGATGACATCTAATTCTGTTCTATTCATTGGAAGCTCGTTTAATTGAACATATTCCGATGAACTATTTCGATATCCTATAATAAACCATGATATAAGTAATGGAATTAGGATAACTCTAGATTTCCTTCTTGAGCAATCAAAACTAATAACATTTGATTTACTCATGCGGAAATGATATGAAATAATTTAATAGTTTTACTTGATTGAGTGTAATAAATATATATTATGATTAATGAAAATACAAAAAAAAATGTTATTTGTTGTAATTTTTTTCTTGACGAACAACATATTAGCAACATTTGGATTTTTTCTTAGCATCTGGCTTATCAATAGAAATTGCGGACTGCGTTGTCTTATTTGAAGCCATTACAAGCTCTGCCATTTTTTCAACAGCATCTTGTACAGCTTGGCCTGTTTTAGCACTGCCTTCGAAGAATGTAATGCCTTCTTTTGCTGCAAAATCTGCTAATTTCTCTGAATCAACCTTTCTTTGATCATCTAAATCGATTTTATTGCCAAAAACTATAATAGCAGCTTCTGGGGCTTGGTCGTTTGCGAATTGAATCCATTGCTTTAAGTCGAGGAATGATTGATTATCAGTTAAGTCGAAGAGAATGAAAATACCTTTTGCATCTCTTGCATAAAAGCCTACAAGTGATCGGAAAACTTCTTGGCCAGCTGTATCCCAGAATTCTAATGTAATTTGCTGGTTGTTAATTTCTAAGTTTAAAGAAACATATTGAGCGCCAACAGTAGGAACGTGAGCGTCAACGAATATATCATTTGTAACTCTTTCGACAAGTGCAGTCTTGCCAACACCCGAATTTCCGAGCATAACGATCTTATAATGGTTCGGGCTTGAGCTCATTTTTTTATACCTTTTAGTTTTACTTTTTTTTAAATGAACAAAAGTGACGTTCTCAATGATGAATTATCAAGTAATTCGCTCAAAAATAGTCAAAAACTGTCATTTGAAAGAACATAGAACTTAATCTTGGAATACATGAATAAAGCGGATTTTGAAATCTTGTTGTTGTAAACAGAAATTCATCAAAAGTGACACCTCAGAAAAGCTAAAATATTGAATTTTTGGAACTTTTGATAGAGCACGTTTTTAAATATTTAATTAGTAAAGTGTATATTTTGTAAAGATTCTTTTTATAAAAATAATTTTGAAGAAGAACACAAAATCTTCTGAAAAATAATATCACATAAACCCATATTATTTTCTAATATATAACTATTTTATATAAAAATCAAATTCAATGATCTTAAAAGCGAAGGAAAACCTCAAAATTTACGAATATAATGAGTGGTAATATAATGCTTATCTATCATAAAACCATATGAAATATAATTTTTGCTTTACGCCTAATTTTTGACGACAATTAGCAAAAAATGTTAAATGTTAACACTCAGTCCATTTGAATATGAAAAATAAAATTGACTTTGATTAAATGTTTTTATTTATCATGCAATTCTTCTTGCGACGAGAAAGGGACAGACTAGCCCATTGTCACTTTTTAATTTAGCAAATGAACGCTTATGGAGTGGAGTTTTTGGGTAAATCTGATTTGCTTATAAATGAAATAAAATCAAAAGAAACCATATTGGCATTATATTATGCAAAAATAAATGATCTTACTTAGTACTTTTAAAGTTAATTTCAGAAAAAATTTGACACAATGGTATCCGGCACATACAAGTGGTGTACAACCAAAATATAAGTTAGTTTAAACATATATTGCTATATCTCATGATCTTACTTAGTACTTTTAAAGTTAATTTCAGAAAAAATTTGACACAATGGTATCCGGCACATACAAGTGGTGTACAACCAAAATATAAGTTGGTTTAAACATATATTGCTATATCTCATGATCTTACTTAGTACTTTTAAAGTTAATTTCAGAAAAAATTTGACACAATGGTATCCGGCACATACAAGTGGTGTACAACCAAAATATAAGTTGGTTTAAACATATATTGCTATATCTCATGATCTTACTTAGTACTTTTAAAGTTAATTTCAGAAAAAATTTGACACAATGGTATCCGGCACATACAAGTGGTGTACAACCAAATCTTCGACTCGATGAACTTGTCATCGAGTTATATTCCAGTGTTGTTCCTTCATTCCTGATTAAGTTGCAAATTAAAGGTCTGGATTCAGAGAGAAGTGTTAAAGTTATCAAAAAAGTCACAAGAGATTTCGAAGAAATGACACAATTTAAAAAAGTCGAATGCATCAGTATGCTTGAAGCTGTTCAGAAAGGTCTGAAAAATGATACACTTGATCCCAACATTGTTTACTCAACATTAAAAATATTATTGCAAAGAAAACATTTGATTTAATAAACATTTAATTTATTATAATTAATTTTTTATTACAGTATAGTAAAAAATGCTATAAATAAATTATTATATTTTATTAAAATGTGACTTTTAATAGTAAGTGAATAAAATAAATCAGGAATTGGGAAAGAAATAAGGTTAATTAAAAATAATGAAAATTACAAGTTTAAGGTTAATGAAAAAGTGACAATGGGCGAGTTTGTCCCCCACTCTTAAATGTTAACACTCAGTCCATTTGAATATGAAAAATAAAATTGACTTTGATTAAATGTTTTTATTTATCATGCAATTCTTCTTGCGACCAAAGATTTGAATAAAAGTTCAAAAAATAAGATAGCTTAAAAAATAATATACGGTAGTGTTTACTAATAGATGAATAGTATATAAATTCTATTAAAATGGATTTGATCCAAAAAAATATAAAATCAAAAATAATTGTTATAATTTAAATGAAGAAGTAATTTAAAACGATTTTATTTATGATCAAATTTTATATATTTTTTTGGATCAAATCCATTTTAATAGAATTTATATACTATTCATCTATTAGTAAACACTACCGTATATTATTTTTTAAGCTATCTTATTTTTTGAACTTTTATTCAAATCTTTGGTCGCAAGAAGAATTGCATGATAAATAAAAACATTTAATCAAAGTCAATTTTATTTTTCATATTCAAATGGACTGAGTGTTAACATTTAACATTTTTTGCTAATTGTCGTCAAAAATTAGGCGTAAAGCAAAAATTGATATTTCATATGGTTTTATGATAGATAAGCATTATATTACCACTCATTATATTCGTAAATTTTGAGGTTTATCCTTCGCTTTTAAGATCATTGAATTTGATTTTTATATAAAATAGTTATATATTAGAAAATAATATGGGTTTATGTGATATTATTTTTCAGAAGATTTCATTCGATATGCCTATGAAAAGTACTCTCAAAACTAACTTTTTCCTAATTATAATTAAATCTAGAATATTGTATTATGCTTAGTATTATTTCATTTTTCTCATTCAATTTAGAATTTACAAATGTCAAAAAATTGAGAGCTGTCACTTTTGATGAATTTCTGTTTATTACATTGTATTTTGACAGTAGTATATGAGTGCGGGTTGTGTGACTTTTTTTGTAACCATATGAATTCACAACAATATTGAACGATTTTGTAAATTCATATGTAACCATATGAATTCTCATAATATTGAACGATTTTGTATCAATATTGTAAACATAAGAATTCTCATAATATTGAACGATTTTGTATCAATATTGTAAACATAAGAATTCTCATAATATTGAACGATTTTGTATCAATATTGTAAACATAAGAATTCTCATAATATTGAACGATTTTAAAAATAAAGATTGAGTTCAACATTGAACTTTAGAAATTAATGATTATCATGAATGAAAAATAAACTTTAGAAATTAATGATTATTTGAATTTATGAAATCAATTATTTGATTCATTCTTTCTTCAATCTCTTCTATTCTTTTTGTTAAATCATCAATTTTCATTAATGAGGTGATTCTTGATTGAGGAATAGATTTCAAACTAACCACTCCTTTTATTTTTGAAATTTTGAATCCATCAACTTTAAACATTTTATTCAATTTACATGTTGTCAATTCTTCAAATAATTTTTTATTATTAGCATAATAAAAAAAAAAAGGTAGTGGGGCTTCCAGGCACTTCGTGCCCTCTAGCCCCGAAGATGTTTAGTATAAATGAAGTTTTTATTCGGAAAATTGTTAGTCTTCTGGTGTGAATTCGGAGGACTCTTCTTCTTCCTCCATTGCTTCTGGGAAGAAGCCTTCTTCTGGGTCGAAAACATTATATAATGTTTCACTTTTTCACAAATTATATATGTTTTCATGCTTTGTCACTTTTCTGTCACTTTTTCGGGTAAAAACATTTTTATTATTATATATAAATGAATTTTACAAAACCACCGTTACCGTTCTTTGGAAATAAGAGTAAATGTAAAGATATTATATTGAGAGAACTTAAGAAACTACCGAATGGTCTAACATTTGTAGATTTGTTCGGTGGAAGTTTCTATATATCCCATTTGTGCCATACAATATTCCCAGACTCAAAGATTATATGCAATGACTTCGACAACTATATGGACCGTCTCAAACATATTCCAGACACTAACAAAATATTGAGTGAGTTAAAAGAAAAGATTCAGATAGGTAAGATGGAACGTATACCATTAGATAACAAAATATTGTGAGAGAGGTTTTGAAAAAAGCAGAATATATAGACTGGGATAGTATATCTGCTAGACTATTATATAGTGGTTCTATAAGAGTTCATGACATTGAAACACTTATGTCAAAAGTTTTATATCTTAACTATACAAATGTTTTCAAAGAGGACATAGAAAAATATATTGAGGTATAGAGTTTGTGAGATGTCATTGGACAGAGTTGTATGAAAAATATAAAGACAAGGAAAATGTTTTCTTTATAGTGGACCCGCCGTTCTATAACACATGGATTTTCAATACCAAGTAGACTGGACTTTGAGAGACTCTTTAGAAACTTTAGACGTTATACATAACCATCCATGCTTTTACTTTACATCCGATAAAAGTGGTTTTGGAACCGTTATGAGATGGTTAGAGGACATACATGACTATGAGTTTAGATATGACAAGATAGAATATGAGAGAGTCCTATAAACCGGAGAAAGTGTCATAACAAAGAAATTTTATTAGTAAGTAAATGTGGTTTGAAATAGGACTACTTGTTTTAGGTTTTTTCCATTGTGTCATTTATTTATTTGACGTGTGCAGAAAAGTACAGAGAATATGAAGATGAACCAATGCCTGCAAATGTCAGTATATGTACTCGTAAGAGATATTTTTATCTAATATTAAATGGACGCACAGAACTAGCGAATGCACAGCAACCTGGACAACCAAACCCAAGAGAATATTCCAAATGAAGTTAGAATACAACTGCAATGGCAACTATGGTCAAGTGCCAACAGATGTACAAATGCAAACTGCCATGTCAAATGACGCTGCGTTAGGTTTGCCACCATGGTATGCAAATATGAGATGGAAAGAGTTTTTATACAAACCCTGAAGTGGGATATAAACAACTTTATGCAGATGACGCGAACACAGGAAGTTGACCCAGAATATGTTTTCTACGCAGAGGAGAAACAGAATGTATGAGCTCCAGTTAAAGAATGCTATGGAACTCAACAGGAAACGTAAGAGACTAGGCGGACATTAGATTTTTACATATAGTAAAATGGGTTTCTTCAGTAAGATAGGAAACTTCTTTCGAAATGTTGGAAGAGGTATATGGAATGGAATAAAACCGTAGGAAGAGGAATTTGGAACGGAGTCAAAAATATTGGTAAAAGAGTAGGTCAGTTTGTTGGTATTATACCTAAAGACCCTGAACCAGAAGAACAAGCTCCTGTTATACAACAGCCTGAACCTGCACCACAGTCTAGTTGGCAACCAAATCCAACACACTCAA